AAATTCTTTCCTGCCATTTTTCACGCGACATGTTGCTTATTTGGTACGGCACGCTTATTATCTTTGACATAATTTTATCCACGGCGCGATTATTTTGTATCAGTTTGTTAACCTTACTTTTGTCTATCAAATAAAAGTGCCGGCATTATAAAATTATTTCCTTCTATTTTTCTCCCGGCATGTTGCTTCTTTGGTACGACCCACTTATTAATTTTCAAATAATTTTATCTATGGCAAGATTATTTTGTTCCAGTTTATCGCAAATATATTTGAGTACCAAATAGAAGTGCCGATACGTTTAAATTGTTTCCTTCCATTTTTCACCCGGCTTGGTGTTTATTTAGCACGGCACGCTTATTATTTTTCAAATAATTTTATTCACGGCATGATTATTTTGTACCAGTTTATTAAACTTGCTCTTGTGTACCAAATACAAGTGCAGGCACGATTAAATTATTTTCTTTTATTTATCTTCCAGGCATAGTACTTATTTCGTACGGCACGCTTATTATTTTTAAATAATTTTATTCACGGCATGATTATTTTGTGAACGTTTAATTTCATCAAGCGATAGAAATGTGGATATTTATTGTCTACTTTCATACAAATGCGCCACAATGACAGAATGTGGAAATTGGGGAATGGTCATTCTTCGATTGTTTTAATCACTGACCCATCGTTTCGAATATTGTCGCTTTCAGCAAAATACCACATTTACACACGACATTCATACACAGGTAGCATAATGCCATACACTGTCCATGAACTGGTATCTAGTAATCCCATATGTACAGTCTTTCAGGCGGTGAGCAAAACAGAATTTAAAATCTCCCTAATGTATATTTACAATGTAAACTAAATGAATGTATTGTTCGTAAAGTGAAATCCCACTGTCTAATTGCGGTAGAGATAACAGCTAGCTGGTCGAAAAAAACTGCAGGTTTAATATAGTACAAAAATAAATCAGTTACTCATGTAATCACTCACGCATTTACTCCCTCCACATAGGACACACCCAATAAACAAATACATAAATCATTCTTAGAAAACGAAAGTTCATCCCACATTTACTAGACAACTGAAATCACTGTCACCTAATGGGGAGATGATGAAGTGAATTAAACAAAAGAGGAACAAAAATAAAGGAGACAATGCGCTTAGTTTAATCAGCTAAGCTAAAACATAACATTTAACTAAAGGATCACAAACCAATGCCAGCGTTGGGATAACGCATGCGCAGTCAGAGAATCAAACTGCTTTTTTTCTAGCCTCACTCAAACTGACACTCTATCTTAGAATCATTCACGCAAACCAATCACGAAGAAGTCTCCCAAGTTCTAGAAATGTGTTCGATGAATGAGCTATTTTGTAAAACACACTAAAATTAGTTTAAATCCGTTGACCACCAAACAGTTATTAACGGGGGCAAGAAATGTGTAATTAATGTTAACGACTTCAAAATGAAACTGCGATCTTTTAATCATCATAGAGAACCTTTTTTGCTTGGCTGATCTAACCTCCAAGGAGAAAAACTTGTACTTTCTCGGTCTCACGTTTGTCAATGATATGAAGTAGATTATTTTATATTAAATCAATTGCTAGAGAAAAATTTATTCACTGTATCGTGCCAGACAATTTTTCCTGTCAGAATCCATTTTACACATTTATAAATCTGCCATTCGTCTGTGCATTGAATACTGCTGCCGTATCTCGCCTGATGTTCCTCCTATATATCTCGAGATTCTTGACAAAACCCAAATATAAATCTGCAATATCTGTCTATATTTCTGAGATGAGGTATTATGTACATTATTTACATTATTCGGACTACAGTCCTCATCTTTGTCGCCATATTTATTAGAACGTTTCGGCCGTTGTACGCTCCGGCCTTCTTCAGGTGGTTGGAATGTCGAACTGAACCCTTTATGTGAAGAGGTTGTCGGAGAAAATACAAAGGATTTATTGAGCACTGGTAAAAAATAGTTGCTGAAGACATTAAGTTTATAATACCCAGAAATTCATACACAGATGTTCTCAAGGATACATGGTACAGTGGATAAAGGCGTTAGTTAGATCCAGTGACAGGACCCCAAAGAGTGTGAGTTCAATACTCGGTTAAAGCAGTGGCAAAACTTTCAGAGGGAAAATTAATAGAAAATAACTGATATCCATTAAACACGGCACGTAGAACTAAAACAGTCTACCCCAGTGAGCTAAATGAAGGGTTCAGTTCGACATTAAGTATGGCGACAAAGATGAGGACAATAGTCCGAATAATGTAAATAATGAATCTGCAATGTTATCGGTCCTGACTTGCCACGTTTTCAGCTAATTTTTCACGGCTGCGGAATGTCTTCCCTCTGTCTTTTCTATAAATATTTTTATGGTAATTGTTGTAATGAGCTTTCCTCCTTGTTACCCCGACGGCGTGAATTTAAGCGTGCTTACTCGATTGGCTACTAGGTCTCATCATTTCACTGTTGAATTAGCTTAGAACCGTAAGTTCTATTCTGATAGTTTCTTTTCTCAGACTTCCCGCCTCTAAAACTCTCTTCCAATTTATCGTTTCCCTGTCACTTACATTTTTCAAATATTTTAACGCAGCGTCAATCAACATTTTCTGTCTTACTAAAACTTCTCCGTCTTATTGTCCTTTCTCCTCGCTAAAGACTTCTCATTCTCTTTTACCACCAGTAACCAATGGCGTCTTGGTAGTACAGCGCCGGTGCTTACTAATCTTCCCTAACCGGAAGTGTCCAAACCAGATTTGGGACCCCGAGCACTGCTTTGTGACCCACGCTATCTAATCAACATTTGCTTTTTTCTTCCTACATTTATATACGTTACAAATTAAACGAAGCACAATTGACTATGAAAGGATAAAACTTTTCAAAGATTTTGACGTTATTCTGTTTTATTTTTTTATTTTGCCCCAATTCGTGAATTCGTTTTGCATATGCTAAGTGTCGGGAAAAAACACTACATAAAATTTGCTATTTTTTTTTAATCAATAATGTTGAATGTGTTAAATTATTAAACTCTCACGTTGGTGTCAAAAATTGCCGTAAAATATTGTTGGTTTATTTAAGATGGAATGGTCTATTATGATATGTCTCTAATTTGTATTTAGATCCAAGTGGATAGAACGTTCGAATTCTGACCATGAGACCTGTTTTCGAATCTCACCATGGTCGATTTCTCAGGAAGGAGACTTCCTGATGTTATCGAACTGGAGCGGTCGATCCCAGCGTGCGGCATTTTTGGAAAGTGCCTGAAAACCATACCACGGGTTGACCCAAGCCTCGCGAGTGAAACTGAGTAGACGGAACCCTAGCACAAAATCACAAGTCATCGTGGCCGAGGGTTTGTGCGTGCTGGCCTTGTTGAAATTGTTGATCACGCTTGATAACACGCTCTTTCCCAGAAACTGTAACTAAGGTCTGCTCAGCATAGTTGCAGTATAAACCACGGGTGGGTCTCTGTGTGCGTTGAATAAACACAAATACGCCTGAGCAAGCCGACCTAGTAGACAGTTATACTCGAATATAACTGGCCAGCTATATACATTGATTTTTCAATTTATCTATTTGAGTTACTCACCTATATTGCATCTGATCTATTATTGTACATAAGTAGATTGCAATAAAATTTACATTTTATATGAATATGACCTTAATAAAATTGAGATAGAGTAGAGCAGGGTGGGGGTCCGTATCATAAATTGGAGTGGGAAGTACGAAAATTACTTTCTGAGGCGTGTCCCAAATACCCTGTTGATTAGGTGTTACAGGCGGGATGTGGCGAATATCTCACTGCTCTATCACTGCTACCATGAAAAGTGCTCGGACCAACTACATTCTTTGGTTCCCCCAGGTCTAACGTTCACAACTAGGACCCGCCATGCCACTTACATATCACCCACATTCCCTCCGCATTCCATCGCATCCTGGGTATGACGATAAACTACATCCACGTCCTGGGTAAGATGATAAACTACATCTGCGTCCTGGGTATGACGATAAACTACATCCGCGTCCTGGGCATGACGATAAACTACATCTGCGTCCTAGGTATGACGATAAACTACATCTGCGTCCTGGGTATGACGATAAACTACATCCACGTCCTGGGTAAGACGATAAACTACATCTGCGTCCTGGGTATGACGATAAACTACATCCACGTCCTGGGTAAGACAATAAACTACGTCCAACAGCAAGGACTCTGATAATACGTTTTTGAAAAAATAATGTTGCCGGCTATACGTTTTTGAAAAAAAAATAGTATTACTAGCTATACGTTTTTGAAAAAATAATATTACCAGCTATACATTTTTGAGGAAAAAGTATTAACAGAAATAGATTTTTGAGAAAACAAATATTACCAGGAAAAAAAAAGAAAAGCTGTCGGCATTAAATGACCTATTGAGGTTGATATGCCGTAAAACAAAATAAACCAAATCGTATTCCATCGACGAGAAGTGAGTTCCACTTAAACAGCTTCTTCCTGCGAACTACTGCTCCGTGGAACTGACTCCCAAGAGGATGTTTCCCCGTTCACTAAAATCTTAACCTGTTCAAGTCTAGAGCCAACTCTTATCTTCCCCTCCTATCCAGAACTCTCTACATTGAGTGGCCTTCAGGCCTTGTACATTGTGAACCTTACTGTAAGAAGAAAAAGAAAAAAGAAATTTCGTCAACATTTTGTTTCTTTCAAATAACTGCTCTAGAAAACAGGTTTTTAATTGCCCTTTTTATTTATTTTTAATATTTGCAATACTCAAAATATAACATAAGCGGTCGTTAATCCTTCGTTCACGTAGGCGTCCAAGGCTTTGTTGCTCGCTGAAAAAAAAAAACTAAACAAATAAACAAGCTGCTTTGAAATCCTAGACGCTTACAAACTACGTATATGACATGACCTTATCTCCCATTGCTTTTTTTAAAAATTTATTTTCACTGTTTTTTTGTTTTTTTTGATTTTAGGTGTGTGGGGTGAGTATGCTAATCTTTTGTTCCCTACCTCTTATAAGTCCTACGTCTTTAATCTGCATAAAGTACTTTCTTCCATACGTTTTTTCATCCAGCAAACTTAATCCCAGTCAATTTAGGCCAAGTGTCAGATATTATATTTAGTTTTTACGCTTACCTCCTCTCTCCATCTCTATCTCTCTCTTAACCCCTCCCTCCCTCCACCTCTCACACACACTCTCTCTCTCTCTCTCTCTCTCTCTCTCTTTCCTTTCTAAAGCAACTCTGGTCAGGGTTGATACACACAGCATATGCGTACATATCCTGTAGAGGGCGGAAAGAAAGCACGATTCATTGGGTACACGTATGTATTTCTTTTTCTATTTTAGTTTGTAAATAATAAAATACTGCGTGCGCATGCGCGTGCATGTGCATATGTACAATTGCACTCTTTCTTTCTTTTTCGAAATTTCTGGGACACATAATGAGGAAAGAGGGCTTGAAAAATTTGACACTCACAGGACATTGAAATCAAGGACTATATAGAAAAACAGAAAGTAACCTACCTACTGAGCTTGTGTAAATGAATGGCAGAACAGAGACTGACATGAACAGTAACGATACAAGGATTACTTAGAGTTATCCGTCCTGGGTATGACGTTAAACTACATCCGCGTCCTGGTTAAGACGACAGACTACGTCCGACAGCAAGGCCTCTGATGAGGAGGTTTTGTGGAGCGTAGAACTACTTCTTAATTGCTGATGTCCCCAGGTCCACCCTGAGCTGGGATGGTACATCCTGTCAGGGTTCCAGCTATGAGCAAATAGTTAACCCCTAAACTGGAATCAAAACACTATGAAAGTGTAAAAATAGGTTTTTATATAAGAAATACTTTTTTGTAAAAAATTATTACCAGAAATACATTACCAGTAATACATTTTTGAAAAAAAAAAAAATATTACCAGCAATATATTTTTGGAAAAAAAAATATGACCAGCAATGAAAATTTTGTCGGCATGAAATAATCCATTGAGGTGATATGGTGTGAAACAAAACAAACCAAACCAAACCAAACTTACAGTTACAAAGAATAGAAAGTTGGGGAGAGCCATGATCGCTGTTTTGGGAAGACACGAACCATACAGCAAAAATGAAATGTATGTCAATATGTTGATTATTTTGATAAATTAGTTCATTCTTTTTTATTACTTTTCTTAAAAAATCAAAAATTTTATTTACTTCATAATTTTCAGGATCAAAATCTCAAAACTAAATTTACGCATGGATTTCCAAATATTTAAAATTAATTTTAAAATTTGAAAGCAGAAGACAATTAACTTAGAATGTATTTTAAAAAAATAGAAGGGAAATTGTTAACACACACAAATATAGTTTTTAAAATGTTCTATATATATGGGGGAAAGAATCGGGGTTTATTTTATAGATATAAACTGGATGGATATAGAACCCTCCATGTAACTGGCACTTTCATGCCTTAATCACTCATCTCTCTCTCTCTCTCTCTCTATATATATATATATATATATATATATATATATATGTGTGTGTGTGTGTGTGTGTAGAGAGAGAGGGGGGGGAGGGAGAGGAGAGGCAGGCATTAATGGAGGAATGGATAGCGGCTTGGTTGGATTGAAGAATCGGAGAGCCGATTTCGAATTCTAGTCGAATCCATTACATTCCCTAACGTGCTAATACCCTTGGGAAAGGTGTGAATCCTCTTCTTTTCCCTCCAGCTATGGGTAAATAGCAGGATAGACCGGGTTCTATAGCCTTGGATGGCAACTGGTCTAGGAGAAGGACAACTCAGAATTCAAAACCTGCGGAGGGTCGTTTGGGGACCCTGTGCACCTAGTGCACCAGGTCTCTGTATTCGGCCCTTCAAAAAGTGTGGATGTTTCTGCACGAAACTTTCACCATTATAATCAAAATCTCATGTGCTGTTGTGGAGCTGTTCTTCTAGAAAGAAAATTCGGATTGCCAACACACAAACAAACAGAATGTCTCATATCGAGAATATTCCACATTGAACATGAAGAAAAAATTAATTATTTTTAATAATATGTAAAAAATCTCCACTTTCACCTGAAGACGGTTTGCGAGACCAGACCAGAAACACGTGTCGTGAAATTATGTAAAACAAAGTATAATATTTTTTCTCAATAAATCCACATTACAACCAAAAAACGTTTGCGGCACCCTCTTCTTTTTATATATATATATATATATATATATATATATATATATATATATATATATGCCCCCATTCTCGATCTTGGTAAGCTAAAAACAGGGACACTTGCAATTGGCCATCAGGAGGTGACGTGGGGGAAAAAAAACGCTATCAGCATTTCGTTCGGCCAAACAGAATTTGGTATGTGTCCCCTGTCCCCTGTCGCCTGTCAGCTTGCTTGATTCTCTTTGTAAGTAATCGTTCAATTTCAAACTCTTCTCTTCCTATATTACTTACATTATTCGGACTATTGTCCACATCTTTGTCGCCATATTTATTAGAACGTTTCGGCCGTTGTACACTCCGGCCTTCTTTAGGTGGTTGGAATGTTGAACTAAACCCTTTATTTCGCTCACTGGGGTAAACTGTTCTAATTCCACGTGCCATGTTTAATGGATGTCAGTTATCAGTTACCTCCTGTTAATTCCCCTCTCCAAGTTATCTACCGCCTTAAACAGGTATTGAACTCATACTCTTTGGGTCTTGACACTGGATCTAACTAACGCCTTTGTCATGTGTCCAGCGGGCGAAGTAAAGGGTTCAGTTCGATATTTAGAGTAGGCACGGTGGAGTAATGGATAGCGGCTTGGATTGAGGAATCAGAGAGCCAAGTTCAAATTCCATTCAATCCATTACATTCACTTACGTGCTAATAACTTTGGGAAAGGTGTGAATCCACTTCTTCTCCCTCCAGCTATGGGTAAATAGCAGGACAGACTGGGTTCTATAGCCTTGGATGGCAACTGGTCTAGGAGAAGGAAAACTCTGAATTCAAAACCCGCGGAGAGTTGTTTGGGGACCTTGTGGCACGTAGTGCACCAGGTCTCTGTAATCGGCCCTTCAAAAAGTGTGGTTGGTCCTGCACGAAACCTTCACCACTATAATCAAATCTCATGTGCTGTTGTCGGGCTGTCGGTTTCCTGGGAACTGATTTGAAGCCTATATATGCGGGTTTGGGGACCGCTTGTGAATTTCAAATTCCCATGAAACTCCAATATTGGAGCCGGCTCAACCCACCCCGGGTGAATGCCAAGACAAAGAAAACAGTTCGACATTTCAGCCACCTGAATAAGGCCGGAGCGTACAACGGCCGAAACTTTCTAATAAATATGGCGGCAAAGATGAGGACAATAGTCCGTATGATGTAAATAATGTACATAATATCTCTTCTCTTCCTGTTCATTTTATTTATTTATTTATTTTATTTCTTTATTTTCGACTACTGTTACTAATTCTCTTAACTTTGAATAAGGTTTTTTGATGCCGATGCGAATTTTAACTTCCTCCCTCTCATTTATTTAAATTCTTATTTTAAGTTCTTTGAATATGAATTCCTCGAAATAATCATGCTAGCAATGGAAAGTTAACTCAGTCGCGTGTATCGGGCATGTTGTGGTTTTAGTCTTTCCTCCCTCCCGCCAAAGTGTATGTTGGCACTAAGTTGAAACTTTATATATACACAATTTTTTTTTCTGCGTGTGTGTTTGTGACTAATAGGAGTAGATATGTTTGCCTATCGCTCGGTCAATACTAATCCCCTTTCTCTTGAACAGGTATAGAGGCTCATCCCCTGTTTCCTGTTTAGGAAGGAGTTCCCGGTTCATTTCCTTTTCTCTGGCCTATGTATTGGTACCGTTGTGAATCCCTTATGATATGTGTAGTCTGTAGCAACGTCTCTCCATACTGAGGGTACCGGGTTGACAGTTCTCTGGTTGCTGTTCCCGACTGGTAGTTATGAGCCCTAACTCTTGTATAGCGTCTTGAGCGGCTGCTCTGATCAACAGTTGCATAACATCGGGGTGCTTGTAGTGCCATGTTATGCATGGAATGGTGTCCCTGCACACACCTCCGATGGGCAACCCGAAGGCCACATTATGTTGCAGTCTGCACCAGCTCATTTTTGCCCATGTCGCATATGATGACCGTTAAGTACTATTATTTTAGACTTTCTCACCTTCATTACCCAACATTACCCACTATGACTATAATCAATCAAAGAAGTAAACCTAAACCAAATTTTAAAGAAAAACACCTAAACCTTTTAACATTTCTTTTTCCAACATCCGTGGCATTCGGACCAATTTCTGCAGTGTGGAATCGTTCATGTTTGAGAAGTATCCTGATATACTAGCTCTCTGCAAGACCAAACTTAATTCGTCAATCCCCTCCTCTGACTTCTCGATTCCCTGTTACCTTCCTCTCCTTAGAAAGGACTCTATGACCCACATGCATGGCCCGGGAGTTTACGCACGAGTCCATCTCCCACTGGCTAGGGAAATCTCTCTTGAATCTCCAGACCATTCGTATATGTATCTCCGTTTATCTTTCCTCGGTTCAGTAAGCTATCACTTCTTTCTCTATCGCTCTCCATCCTCTCAATCTCTCACACAATTGGTTGACTTTCCTATGCGTTTCCCTAGTAACCATGATGGTAAGGCTTCCCATCTTGATCTCTGTTTTACTCCCATCACCGAGTTTTGTCTTGCCATGCGTCTCTGCCCTCTTGGCAACTCTGATCATATCGTCGTGTTTGTTAATATCTTCTTCTACTCCTTCCCAGTAAAGAACCTTCTACCAACGAGCAGATTGGGATTCGTTCCGTGATTTCCTTCATGATGCCCACCCCCCCTGGAATACTGTTTTTAACCTTCCTGTCCAAAAATGTGGGTTTTGAGGTCTCATCCTGGGTAAAAGTTGGAATCGAGGCTTTCATCCCTGCGAGTAAATATAAATTGAAATTGCGTTCATCCCCTTGGTTCTCAGATGCTTGCTCAGCAGCTATTGCCCACAGGAATCACTACTTCCGTCAGTACTGTAGAGACATGTCTGATTGCAACAGACTTCCCTTTGTCACTGCCCGTATCGAGTGCAAGCATGTCCTCAATGAAGCAAAGTTACTCTTCGCCGAAAGAATGAAACAACGTATTGCGTCTCGCAAGTTTGCTTCAAAAGATTATTGGCGGCTCTGCAAAAACGTGCTGAACAATATCAAACCACAATACCCTCTTTATTCAACCAATTTGAGGTCAGGACCTCCTCAGCTATTAAGGCTGCTAATCTCGAAAGGACCTCCAATCTGTGGTTGACTGGGGCAGGAAATGGCTTGTAAACTTTATGATATAATGGAATATGCATACACCTGAGTTCCCCCTCACTGGAATATGATTGACTGGTGTCCGTCATAAATACAGATGGACGTGTAGGTACGACAGAGTTTAAGTCTATGACGACGCCATTGGCTATCCTATTGGTCTATACCTATTACCTCCGACTACGACGATTACTGCTACCTTGTACTACTTGGTTACAGTATCCAAAACCACTTAGCTACTTCGATCAAATATATCCCTTTCCGGGACATATCACTTTAATGCCTCCAAAACGAAACTGCTCTCCTTTACAAACCACAGAGAACCCTCACAGCCTCCCATCAGAATGGCTGATTCCCGACTCCTCGAGATCGACTCCTTGCGCCTGCTTGATACATTAAATCAATAGCTTCATCTACCACAAGGAAAGTTGGTCTTATGTGTCGTGCCAGAAAGTTTTCTCGTCTGAATCTATCCTTCAACCCTATAAATCAACCATCCTTCTGGAATATTGCTGTCATATATGGACTGGTGCTCCTGCTGTACGCCTCGAGGTCCTCGACAAAATCCAAAGACGAATATGCAATATGTCCTGATCTGACATCTAAACTAGAATCACAGTCCCACAGACGTGCCGTGGCTTCCTTCTGTTTGTTCTACAAATATTTTCACAGCAACTCTACCGACGACCTACTTTCGCTGGTTCCTGGACAGCATGGATTTAAACGAGCTACCAGGCTGGCATCTCGGTCCCACCTTTTAACTGATAAAACGGGTAAGTGTAACCGTCTCTTCTACTCAAACAGCTTCTTCTCTGACACTTCCTGTTGGTGGAACTCCCTTCACCTTACTTTCTTTCACGATAACTATAATCTTCAAATATTCAAGTGTAGTGTCAATCGACATCTGACACCCTGAGTTTGTTCACAGTCCTTCTCTGTATCCTTTCCTAAAACACGCCTCTTTACTCTTGTTCTCAGTCCACTGCAACCCCTTGCGTGCTAGTGGCACTCCCGTCCTGCTTGGGGTGAATTGCTTTAATATATATGTGTGTGTGCGTGTGTGTGTATATAACGCGTTTAACAGGTTTGACATACCGGTCTTTTTCACAAGTTAAAAGAATGAATTTTAAAATTGTTTCAGTCTTTCTTATGAAATTGCAAAATGAATGTTGTCTGAATGTCCACTCTTCTAAATCATTTTGTACTAATGCAGGTGTCACGTGGGGTTCTATTCTTGTTTATATATATATATATATATATATATAAGTTTATATATATATATATATATATATATATATATATATATATATATATATATATATATATATATGAGATAGAGAGAGCGAGAGAGAGAGAAATTAGATCTTCTTTTTTTGTGATCCAACAATTTTTTACACATTTCTTCGAACGTTATTATAGTGGATATTCATATTTGAAATGCACGCCCCACTTTATTTTTTAGTCGGACACACTGTGTATTACTTTCTATTCGACTGCGTATTCAAGAAATCTTAATAAAGAAAATACAAAAGGATCTGCGGTCCTTATAACATCAGGACAACCTTCAAAAGCGTAAACCCAATAGAATAATGTTTGAAGGTATATATATATATATATATATATATATACGTCAAATATAAACCAGTGGAGTTCAGTTTATATTACAATGAATCATTGAACCGACCAAGCATGAAATAAATACAAAACAAAAAGTAGGTTAGTAAAGTTAATGATATAAAATTATATAAATTATTGATATAAATTATATATATATATATATATATATATATATATATATATATATATATTCGTTATATATTATATAAATTATTGATATAAATTTTATATATATATATATATTTATATCAATAAAATTTATATATATATATATATATTATATATATATATATATATATTATATATTATATAAATTATTGATATAAATTATATATATATATATATATATATATATATATATATATATAATGAATCATTCATACAAAATGTATTAGTAAAGTTAATGATATAGAATGGCGAAATCCTTTCGCAAACAAAATTTTAAAGGTTGATTATACTACAAATCACTCGATGAATGTTATGATCCTTGTTTTTTAAAATTATAAACTGTATAAGGTCATTCGCCAGTACTTTTCAACTGTCGGCTTTTTCAGACGGAAGAATAAAGACTCAAACTCCTGCTCGTTGTGTAACAATAAAGGAAGAAAATGTTTATTTTCATGAACAAAAAATGGTATAAAGATATACACAATTACGAGAGAAAGAAAAGGTAGAAGAAAATTCCTTTAACTCTAAAGGAAGAAAAAATGTTCATAAAAAAGAAAAGATTTGCTCAAAATATTTTTCTGGGCACCTCAAAGGTTCCTTAAGCAAGTTCAAGTAGTTTGTTGAACGGTTAAAAGTAAAACAATCACAGATTTGTTCAGAGTTCTTGTATAGGAGGAAACTGTCAGACGATATGAATTTCGTAGTTGAGTGAGTTCGTAGTTCGGCGACAGAAATCTTTTAGATGCAAGGAAGCAGATCTCAATTGGTTTTTAGTAGTGTGCCTGCCTAATAGGCAGATCTTTGTTGAAACTCGTTCAGAAGTTGACTGGTGTTCTCTGTCTCCGACCTGATGTTATCACGGACGGTTGTAGAGTACTCACTTCCGAAGAGGCAAAGATTCTCCGTATATATGGAGATCAAAAGGCTCATAAATATCAGGGATTTTCCCTCCAAAAATTGCTATACAAATATCCTAGCCCTTTCATTTGTTAGAAAATATATTGTTATCCCTGATAAGAACAAGGCTTTTGGAGACGGCAATTGTCCGACAAGCTGCGAGCGCCTCCCCCAGACTTCATGACACCAAGGACCGGATAATGATGTTCAAACTCTTTTTCATATTTTCCAGCTCTCTCGTTCATCATCTCTGATAAGGAAAAAGGCTTTGAGAGCCGGATTTGAAAGGAGGGGTAAAAAAAGTTGGGATGAGGATTAGAAAAGAGGCTACAATGTGAACCTGTAGTATATTTTAGTCGTGGTCCTCAAATTAAATTCTAATACTATCGGTTATTCTTTTAGCCATTGTCAAGGGCGATTTTTATTTTTTATTTTTAACTGAATCTGTGAGGTTTATTTTATGTATGTGTCTGAAGTTATAGGAAACATTATGGCCGTGTTGGTATATAATAAAACCATTTTGTCTATATAACCATTCATTTAGATTAGTCGAGATGTTTGCAGCATCATATCCCATCCTAGACAGCAATTAAGAAAATAGGAAGATATTTAAAAATGGTGGTTTTAGTAATGAAAGATTTTTCAACAATTTACGGTTGTTTATCTAAATTTTATCAATAAAGTAAAAATAATATTTGGAAAATTTCGATAGTTACTTTTGGAAACAATTTGTGGAGAGACTTTTCAGTGTACATAGAAAAATTTAAATAATGTGGAATAAACTTGAAATTTTTATATCAAAATCCAACATTTTCCATGGGCAAAATTAGACTTAAAAATGTAATGTTTATCATTCATTTTTAAACTCTAAATTACTTCAGTCTTGGAAATTTCTAATTATTATAATTAGAAATCTGCACATTTGGTGATTATTTATTATTTTTTAATTACTTAATTACAATTTATTTTATATTTATGATATGTATTATTAATTATTATCATAATAATTAATTGATAAAAGTTTGTTAGCATGAATGTTGTTAACGTCTCAATTATTATTATTATTATTATATTTTCTTGTGTACTCATTTCTTTCCGGGTCCCGACGAGAGACCTAAGGTCAGAAATTGCATCATGACATTTTCCACTGACCATTTTTTGAAAAAAATTCCTATGATCACACATTTTACAATAAAACTCTTCGTAAGCTGCGAGTACAATTTTTATTACTACTACTACTTTGCAACTTGGTAAAACTAAAAGTAGTAGTCATTTTGGGTTGTGATTAGATGTTAAACAACTTGGATGAATTATCTACATAGTTTCTTCTCTTCCAAAATAAGGCAAATACTGTAGGCTTCTGCGTATAAGCAAAGACACATGGATGGATTTTTAGATGGATACGAATTAAATTAATCGTGTATAAATTTAATTTTTATTTTGTGTACGTTTTTTTAATCGGGGACTGTTTATTAAGACGTCTTTCCTTATACACCGTCGGTGTATTATAACAACGTGTCTATTCCTTTTTTTGTTTGATCTCTGTGTGTGTGTGTGCGTGTTCTTTTTTTTTAACGAAAGGTATGTAATCATTGGGGTGAAACTACTTGGGACGTGGCACTTTGACAAACAACGTCTTTAAATTTTTCTACAGTCCATACCTTTAACCACATCACGAATACAAAAAGTGCATAAAATATGTAAGTACTTTATACGACTTAACAGGATGTTTTCATTTAAGAATACACGATAATTAAAAAAAAACTTTAAATTTGTTTTTTATTGTGCGTGATTTTAATCAAACGAGATATTTTTTTAATTGTTAAACAATTAGAATATGCTTAAGACATTTTTTTACATTTTATTTTCGTTTATATTACTATTACATTTAATTAATTAATCATTTATTTAACATTTTCTTTTAATTCTTACTGCCGACCGGTGAAAATATGTACTTAAAAAAAACTAAGCATTATGAATAAATTTATTCAATAATTTAATATGTCATGACAATATAAATGATCCTGTTTTTTATCTAGTAGTACATCTGAAAGATAAAAATAATTCGATGAATAAAAATAATATCACGATAAAAATAATTCGATGTAAAAATAAACGACTTTTTGTCGTAAAACTTTCTGAAGACAGGCACACATTTTCTCCCGCGTGTTTAAAAAAAAAAAAAAAAAACTTTTTCTCAACCGAATGACTCTGTAATCTGAAAACTTTGCTAAATAAATGTTTTTCATTATTGTTTATGAATTTTCTGTGTAATGTTATTTTGATGGATTTTTTTTTCTATTTTAAAACACATGCAGACACGTCACTTAATATTTTTTTTTAATACAAAGCCTAAAAATTTCAAAAAAAGGATTTGTTGATTAATAAAAAAAAATAAAAAAAAGTTCTTACCTCACGTGGCAAATGCAGCCTCCCTAGGTATTGAATTTATTTTTCGTAAATTTAGTACCCTTTGTTTATTAAAAATGTTTTTTTTATTGTTTTAGTTTTTTGTTTTTTTTTACGTACGTCCCTTCATGATGTAGGCGCTCCACAATTTCCTTTTAAATCTGAATTCAGTTGTCGGCTTGATTGTTTCTCGGGAAAAGATAGTGGTTTCCCGTTGCCTTCATAGAGCTATTCTACTGGTTGGTAAAAAAAAAAAAAGCCAAGTATCTTAACGATCGTTGTTTGCCAGGGGATATGCTTTTTTTCCCCAATGGTACAGCAGTTGAATTTGAACACTGCTCGCCGGTTCGCCGAATCCATTTTCCGCGCACTTAACTGTTCGTCCTCCTCCTCATACATCTTGAGCTTTCCTTCTTCTTTGATGTAGCTTGTCCTTACAGGACGTGGGCGATCATGGCTCTCCACAATTTTCCTGTACTTTATAGCTCTTAGTAAATTTTATCTTTTCATTATAAAGTCTGTTCTGATAGCCTAACGCACAAGAAGACACAAGCTAATTAGGTAAGTTAAGATGTTTTCCACTGAACCTCTTGCCTTCAGTATGTCCTGTAAGTGTCAAATTTTCTAAGCCTTCTTTCCTCATTATGTGCACTAGAAATTTCAACTCTCTATTTCTAAATATCCTTTTTGTTTCTGTAACACAAGAGAAAATGGCTTACCTCCTGGTAGAAAGTGTATTCGAATGTGTCTAGCATTGTAAAGTATCCCAAAAAGAAAATGGCACTTTTATGAGTCATTATGAAACGATAGATCTCAAAGTTAGGTTCATCTCACAAGACTATTTTTTGCACCTATGTAAATTTGACTTGTCATTCAATCTACAAAAAGTGCTTCATGAGGCGATATAACAGTGCGATTTTGGTTAGCGAACAGGAGACACGTGTGGTGGATTGTTTGGCTTGCACCCATTTGGTGAATGAAACGGAGGGTATTTTATTCCAAGCACGACAAAACTGATTATGCACTAACTTAGTGTGCCTTCTCAGTCTAATATTTCTACAGATATGAATTGTAATGTTTATATAGTCAGTTGCTAAATCTGCTGTTAAGAAAATTAGTATACTGTCATGCTAAATAATTTTTTCACCCAAATCTGTCTTGCATATTTACAAGTTTACCATTTGTTCGTGCATTAAATATTGTTGCAACATCTGGTTTGGTACTTTTGTGATGTATTTGTAGAAAACAAAACTAAATTGCTCTTTTTTAATCATCTTAGAAAACACTTTTCCAGGATGGCTAATGGTAATGTGGCGGACATGAGACAGAATTTGGGACGAGCACAACTGGTCGCGACTTGCCTTGTCCCTGCCAAAAAAGAGCCCGTATTTGCTTAGCATGTAAAGCTACTGCAGTTGAAATGAGGGAGAGAAAAAAGCACTTACCGCTCTGCCGTAATCCATCCTCGACCAGATAACATAAAGATATTTATTGTACAAAGTACAAATTTGGCACAAGGCCGGGGGAAAGGGGAAAAGGCTGGTCATCTCTTGTCTTAACTTTAAACTTAGCTAGCCACAATCACTGACCCAAACATACAAACAATGTTCCTTTCACCAAAACAACACATCCATTACGGGATTCTTACTACATCCACCAAAATGCCTCAGAGTCTCTATGGAGTTCTAACTAGTCCCCATATATACAACACATGTGTCTGTGGGGAGGGGAATAAAATAACAATCTAAAAAACCCCAATGAATATTTACAATGAATACAAAACTATATACAAGAAACTAAACAAAAATTTTTTTTAGTAGTAAAACCCCCACAGCCCTAACTGTGGAGACATCAGTTAACTGGACGAAAACAATGCGGGACTTAAAACAGTTAATATAAAACATTCATACCATCCATGCACTCACTACAAACACGCACTCAATCAAACACAACAACCAATACGAAAGACATACAACGAAGCGAAAGGCGACCCGCACCACCAGAGAACTGATACCCCTAACCACCTAACGATGGGAGGGATGGGGAATTAAACAAAAGGAAAAAAAATAGGGCCAGAAAAAAAAAAAAAGGGGGCCAATGAGCATACACACCCTAGCTAAGTTAACATGAAAAAAAAGAAAAAACTAACTAAAACAAAACTGACCTAAACTAACCTATACAAGGGAGGGGTAGCCAATGTTCACCCCAGCGATCCCAAAATTCTTAATGCCTAACCGCATCAAAATGCCACTCCAAGTCAGCACCTTTCACTCTGCAGAAGAAGACTCACCCACCTTTAAGCAAATTCCAATGGATGGAGTCCTTTCCGTCCTGATCTTGACTTTAAGCTGATGCTTAAAGAACAAGATCAGTTGGGAAGAGGAAAACCAAAATTCCTTCTGTGAGCCGTCCATATCTAAGATAACACCCAGTTACAGGAACACATAGTGCTCAGCCTTAGTCAACGGTGGTACTATATTGCTACAGACGGAACTGGCCTCGGGGACAAAGAACTTTCCACGCAGCATGCTAACCATGATATCTTCAATAAACTTGCACAGATTACGACACTACAATGAAAGAAGGACCTATGGTCTCCACCTCCCCACTGCAGCGACGCAGTTTGGCGACTTAGCCAAACCCGGAAGGATCGAATCACCAGCCAGGTGAGCGGCGCCTCGATTAGTGAGACACTTCAACCCGGGCGCCAAGGCCAATGATTTCTGAGGTGACCGAGCCTCGCCTACCAAATCATCTCGGCGTTCCCCCTAACTAACACCTGATATAATGCCTTACGAGACAACAGCCGAATGGATAAACCAGGGCAATCCAAAAAATTATAAAAGAGCCCTTGTGCCGGAGGAGCCCCTCCTCACACAACACATTTCTCAAGATGGAAAATGTTTCGGGCGTCTTCCTTCCAGAATTTCATCCAGTTGCATACACATCCGGTCTAGATAAGTAATGCGACCCAACGCAAGGCACCCCCAGACCGCCATCAGAGGGATGGAGGTAACAGATTTCACTGGATGGCAGCCTTGCCTCCCCACAAGAAGGAGAACAAGAACAAAACGCCAATAAAATGTCAGACGGAGTGGAAGCACAGAAAGTCCTTAAAGGAGAATCAGATGTGCGAGGTACATACTTCCCCTCCCCTAGGAAAGACCAACTTCCAAAAACTGTTTCTCGCAGATCCGACCAATTCATTTCCAACTGGAGGTGCACCGAACCAGACGCCGAGGACCGGCCCGTCCGTCCAGAGGAAAGATCCGGGAAGAAAACTCCTTCCACTAACCCAACCGCAAGCCAACAGACTTATCGCGGTTGATCTTCCCCTCCACCGCCTCATAACCCTTGATTTCTTTGCTGACTTCGATCCAGGAAACACCAGAACCAAAACGTCATCAGCATAGGCGAGTTGGCCGGTGGTAGCACCAGGTAAGGAAATTCCAAGGACGGATTCGTGTTCAACTTAGAGGAAAGGTTCCAACGCAAGAACGTTCAGCAATGGAGACAGCGGACAGCCCTGACGAATGGAGCGAGACAACATGAAAGGTTTCGATCTTACCCATTCACTTCTACCAGCGCACCGGGGACGATGCAGCAGTCGGATCCAAGGGCCGAAACCGGCGGCCGAAAGAACAGCAACCAGATAACATAAAAGAATGAGGGGACTGGCATCATTTTTATGCAATAACATGCAATGCATTATGGGACATGGACGCAATGAATTATGGGATCACAGGAAGACTCAAGGGATTATTACATGAACAACTATAAAAACAACTACTTTTTTTCCGAAGTCGGGGAGTTCTTCGAGGGCGTTCACGGTTGACGGCAAGAACGGGCAGTTAGTGTGATTTGGAGACAGAACTCAAGAAGGAACGACTCAAGTTTGAAATACCAGCTGGGAGAGCTTGAATTTACTCGATTCTGGTTACTGTTTTTCTTCATTATTCAGGTAATCTTCAGGAGAGTAAGTGTAACACAAGAAAAATGGCTTACCACCTGGTAGCACTTCCAAAAAGAAGAAACACTATCCCAGGGGGGGGGGAAGTCCTGTCAAGTAAACAGGCAGACCCTGGAACATGATCCCTCATCCCAAAAGTGAGCACTCCTAAGACCGTTTTTAAAACTTCTTCCATGGGCGGGCAGCCAGTGGAAGACCTTTGGAACTTTCCTAAGGCCACACTAGTGATTATGTGGATCCATAACCCAGGGAAGGATTTGAAAGTATGGAACCATCTTTCTGAGGTGAGCGGCACCTTTCCAGAAATCTGTATGGTGGAAA